TGTTCCTTTGTAAATTGTCAAAGAAGGCCTGCGAGTTCCCCTTTTAGTGTCACGCCGTTGTATCTTCCAAAACAGAAGAAAAGCCGGCTGGGGAAATATTTAGGCAAAAGGATGGATGACATGGAGAATGATATAAAAATTGGTTAACTTCCGTGCTGAGGCACAATCACATAGAAACGCTTAAACATCCACCTTATCCTCCAGATATTGCCCTTTCCGATTTTCTTCTGTTTCCAACACTATCGATCCAAGAGAAATAGCAGGCTACCCTATAATCATGTTTGCAAAGGAAGACTTTTAAATACTCCTGGGATATTAGACCGGAAGCTATAGTAGCAGGTATAAAATATAAAAAGCTTCTTAACCGATGCACCCTATCAGGTCACTGTTAAAATTAAAATTGTTATTATAAAAGAACATTTTCCGTAACATCATGTATGTTACGTTTGATAGGATGCACTTGAAAAAAACTGTAAGATTCTGGGTTTCCAAATTGCTTATCAATTTTGTTGTTGAAGTGAAACTTCTTTACGCACGGTAGGGTAAGTTCGTTTCGTGCGAGTTGCTATGTAACGAAATCATGCAACGCATTCCCCCCGCTGTCTGTCCCTATGTATGCTTAGATCTTTAAAACTACGCAACTGATTTTAATGCGGTTTTTTAAATATATAGAGCAATTCAAGAGGAAGGTGTATATGTATAATATGTGCATAATATAGTAGAGAAACACTGATAATTTTAGAGGTTTGTAATGTGATGTCGTAAATAAACACATTCTTTTGCGCTTACATTGCAAACCCTACGAGATAGATCAAAATAATATACTAAAGTATTGTACACCTTAAAAAGGTCTACAAAAATGTCCGCGATGGTATATGCCTATCTCTTAGGGATAACCCACAATAACCATTTTTTATTCTTTACTTTTTACGAAAAATAATGGCTTATTTACGAAGCGATTTTGTGAAATACAGTATTAATCCTTATCCAATTAAGTACTTTTAAATACATTGTGTAAGAAGTAAGTTATTTTCGTAAAACGAATCTTTCTGTTAAGGCTAAAATATTATGAAGCAGTCTTCAGATGTTATAACTTATGCGTCTACCCTCGTCCAAATTCTTTAGACTTTGTTTATATGAACGACGCGATAACGCCTAGAACAGGCGACCCTTTTAATAACCACACGCACGGTTCCTGATGGCAAGATCTCTTTTATACAGACAGTCTTTCGTAAGTCGTCGTTAGTGGAAAATATAAAAATCAGTTAAATAGTATTATTCACCTGTTTTGTGAAAGTGTTAGTTTTGTTGCTATCAATATACCTTAAAGGTGAGTTATTTCACTGGGTGATCAATTTTACTTGGTTAATTAATTGTAATTCATTTACATTAATGATTATGAGCTTTTATGATTATATTTCAATATGTGTGTTGAGCACTATGCGAGTTGACCCTTAGTGCTTTGGTGTTCGAGTATGATGCGAGTTGACCCTTCATACTCCGCTAGTTGTTTATAGAGTGGGTACTATGCGAGTTGACCCTTAGTACCTTAGTGAAAGCATGCCGTTACACTGTTTACCATGGTAGATACTCTAGACTAGCGTAATTTATTTTCCGAGGAGGTATTTCGCGAGTTGACCCTTAATACCTGTGATCCGGAAAAGATTGTAATATAAATCATAAACTATTATGTGTTTATTCACTTCGTTATATTGATTTATTGATGGTTGAATTGGTCGCTCACATATTTCTTTTGTTTATTTTACAGATGTGTCATCTCGGACTTATCAGGCCATTCATACATAAGTAATAAGTGTTTTCATTTTATACAAGTTTATATATATCATTTTATTATCATAGGTACGTTTAATTCAGATTTAGTTTTGTTCAATATAAAATAAATCATATAAATTAGTGTTATCATTTGAATATTCTTCGTAAATAATTTAAATACCCCCTACAATTGTGCATTTAATATAGATCAATATGGCCCTTTACAGTATGTAATTTAAATGAATATTTTCGAAGATATTATAAACTTAAAATGCAGGGACATGGCGGTTGCGGCGGTACCGGCCGGTTTGTATTGTCTAATGACAAAAAAAGCTGTGATTGTTGTATATAAAGACATTCTATAGTATATTTACCATCAACATTGCACTCGTGCGAAGCATAAGTACAAATACCATTAAACCAATTCCTTAACCCCTATCCCGGTATGTTTGAAGAAGTTTTACTTCAGTAGCGTGTTGTATAATTACACGTTGTATTTTTGTTTATAGTGTTCCATAACTACAATTTCCTTCTTTTTCTTTTTCATGCAATCTGAAAACACGAAATTTTATACATTTCTTTTTACAAGTACCTACACAAGACCGTTTTAGCCCTTTCGATACTAAGCCTTAAAACACCTTTAGCTGTCTTAAATTACAAAGGCATGCAATATGATCTCATGGAAGTACACATTTTTTTTACAAATATGATTTTAATTTTCATCACGACCGGAAAGCGTGCATCGGTCAAGAAGCTTCTTACCTTTCTTATCGAGGGTAAGTTATTAATCCTCATAAAGGCATGCGGTATAAAATCGAAGAATCCTAGCTATCATCCGTTTTCGGTCCATAAGTATGGTATAACTACACATGATCCCTGTACTTTAAATGTGGAATAATTGATGTTTTACATTAAATAAATTTTGCTAGATTATCTAATAAATCATTCCGGAAACTTTGGTTCATGTCTCGTACATTGATATCACCGAAAAAATTCACTCTCATTGTATTACATCGCTAATGCAATCTTATGACTAATACTATCTATTCGACGTTATGATAGATATACTTGAACAGCGTTTCAGTTCTTGATAAGTATGTCGGCAGTGGTAAATTCGGCCGGTCATTACGACAGGTAGAAGAATTCATTAACCATAAGTCAAAGCGTAATCTCGACCGCTACGCTAAAATCTACCGAAAACTAAGTTTCTACACATTGCTTCAAGTATTTAGTCATGGAAAAGGAACATTAAACTACAATAAAACAAAGATTTAACAAAGAAAGTAGCAGTTTCTTTTAGTAATGCATTTATCGTACGTGTGTATTAACTAGAAACGTGCAAAATGGTTTTTTATATGTATTTAAATACAAAATGGAAATAGATTTTTGATTTGTTATTTCCAATGTAAAATAGAAAATATATTTCCCTTTTGTATTATAAATGCTAAATGCAAAATACGTATTTTCAAAATACCTTTTTTAGTACCGATTTAAGTAATATTCTACATTTATTTAAGTATAAAATATTTTTTAAGAAAACCTTGCAGGCATATGCTCATTTTCAAAATATTGGACTTTTTCTAGACTAATAGTGGTGTTTGCACTATATCACCAGCTGCGAAAATTGAGTACAATTCATAATTTTCTGTTTAAAGTGATTGAGATTGAGTTTATGTATCTTTACTTTACAGTTTTTCACATTAGCAATAAATAATTTTTCTACATACTTCCTTGTTTGCCTTTGTAACCGTTTTAATTGAAAAATAGACACTGATACCAAAATAGTTTGCTTAACGTGAAAGATCAGAATCAAAATAGGGTTGCAAATAATTTTATTAAATGTAAAATCAACACCAACTATTTTATAACAACATATTTACAACCCCATTTTGTTTCTAATCTTTTACACATTATAATAAGAGAAAGAAATGGAATCGATAGTTTCATTAGCTTTGGGTTCATCTAATGAGTGAACTTTTTCGAATCGTTTTCTAAAAATTTTGGATTATATGTATTTATTAGCACACTACAATATCTTGTATTTTTCAGTTCTGCACAGCTGGCGTATATCAATTCGATATTCTTTTACGGGCTGTTTTGTAGTACTTAATTCATAGAATTTCGTAGTTCCTTGCTAAAGGTACCATAATTGGTGATTTGGCAGGTGCTGATATCAATTTGAAACTTCAAAATTCCATGGACTATGACTATTGAGCCCAAAAAACAATACTGATCCAGTGTTTTAGATTATCCACTTCCAAGGAGTTTAAAATTTTTTGGGCTCTCGTCATTTTCAAGCTTCTAATACCCTCAATATCCAATAAGAGAAACTTTCATTCATTATTTTATATAATGCTACAGCGGTGATACTAGTAAAACTTAACTTTTAAATAAAATACAAAATGGTTTTCTCAAAAAAGTGTCTAAATGCAAGATATAAATGGTTATTTTTTTATTTCGTATTTGCATTTTAAATGCAAGTATTTCAAATAAATCACATCTCTGGTATTAAGATGTAGTCATCTTTAATAAAATGCACCAATCCTGCTTATAAATTTTAAAAACTTGTACAACAGTGATGTGATGTTTCAAATTATCTAAAATATAAATTTTTCTGTTGTCAGAAGTAAATTAATTAATTAAGAGACCACTTATTCCTACCTCTTCTACCTATTACTTATATGTATATGTATCCTCATCATCATCCGCGTTTGACACTTGAGATGATCCTTTTATTTTCTGCGCCTGTCTGAGTGCAAATCGGCCGAATTTATTATTTATTTTTGAAGGTTACGAAACTTTTCCTACCGAATTTACCACTGTAATTAATAAACACCCTTTAAATCGGCAGAATTTACAATCGCCGAAGTATATAGTTACTAATTATTTCCAGTCTTTGCCCCCTGGCAAGCTCATTGCTTTGACGCGTCACGAAATAGGCACAAAGTTTAAAAAATTAGACGTTAAACGCATTAAACCTATATAAATTTGCAGTTATTAGATATCTACCCCCTCCTACGAAAAATCTGTCGCTACGCTCATGAGTAGCCATCTCCATCACAATCCTTTTTGAGAAGCGTCGGTAGTCAATGTGGAAAATGAAATTAGAATTATTGAAGCCGAACGAAATAGAGACAATTATAACTTTTGGACTCCTACGCTTTACTTAAAATATTTTCACAAGCCTTAGCATTTAATTATTTACATGAATAAGAGAGCAAACTTACCTTATTATTATCCAAGATCTACTTTCCATAATTAAGCACACAGTTTCAATAAATGTATCAAAGTCACAAATGTTTGTTCAAGAACGCGAAAATCACTGCCTAATTTCGTACCAAAACACATATCACACGCGTATAAACATCGGAATTACGATTAAAGAACCACCGCGAGAAAATGGATTCCGAACTGACGTACTAACATTCACGATGAGACAAACAACAGCAACGTTATGATAACTTTCAAGGCCTTTCTAATAGAAGGTGAACTTAGTGACATCTGATGCTTGATCTTTCAAAATACCAAATATACATATATGAGGTTTGGCTAGTAAAAATCGTGACTATGAGAACTTACAATTACCTAGTTTTAAAACATAATTACAAATAAAATTCAAGGTATTACTATTTAATAATGTCTTTAACAGCTTTTGGAAGACAAAACTTTATTCAATGAATAAAATTTGTTATTAATGTGAATATTCTATTAATTTTTATCCACTACCAATTACCTCAAATTAATGAGAGAAATCGTTGATCTTAGATGAGTCGTCAGAGCACTGGTGCGCAAAGGTGTAGGGTTCGATTCCCGGCGAGGGCATGACATCAGCAACAATTTTTTCTCATTATTCTGAGGTAATTTTTTGTGGAAAAAAATTGAAGGAATTTTCACATTAATATTAAATATTAATCACTATTGAATGTTTCTTAAAATATTTCACACGATATTAATAAAGTTTATATTGAATATGTCACTTACCTTGATTACTTTACAAAAATAAAATTTTCCTTACATATTAGATAATTGTATTTCCTGACATTATGATAAAAAATTTGGAACATTTACTTATGACGGTTTATTAAAGTCATTCAGAAAAACTTAAATAACAAATTGAGAAGTTACAACAAATTAACGCATACATGTCTGAGCTCATTTTAAATAAAATATATACATAAACATGCGGGCTTTTTTACCAAACAGAATGATTGAATAGCAGTCCTTTATTCTTTATTACATTAGGCAGTTACGATGTATTACAAATAAGATTGACCAAATATTGCAGCAGTTCGTATTTCCTACTAGAAAGCAATAAGTAAATAGAATCGTATTGTTGTTAACAAGACGTACACTTCACTAATCCAACTTCGTCACAATTCATACATTTTAGAGCGACAAACTCGGTAGTGAAATGGTTCCTGTGGACAGACTTCTTGCTACCGTTACAGATGGGACAGGGAAGAAGGCGATATCCTCCACAAATTTTGCAAGTGGTGCAAGCATCCATACTCTAAACATAGAAAAATCGTTATTAATTATTTATATTAACCACTACAGGTACTGATGTGTTCCAGAAAAATATAAAAAATTATTCTTCTTAGATAGTATATGGGTTAGTATTTTTATTGAAGTGAAACTTCTTTGGGCTCGATGAGAGTAAAATCTCAAGGCCATAAAACGACACGTTTTGCAACGATTCGTCACGCGAAGCGATAGGATATGAGAATAGAAAAGCGCGTATGCGCATATCGGTATTACAGTCAGCTGTTAGTAACCGGCATCTCATATATTATAGTATAATGTATATTCATTATACTGTAGGGCTAAATTAATGTTTTGGTTATATCTGTGCAGTTATATAACAGTAAATGTTTATGTAACAACAATTAATATTTATTAAAGAGTGAGTATTATTATGTATTAATTCTAATTCCTTGTAGTTATTGATAGTTTACGGTTTCTTAAGCACTTGGAAAAATAAACGAAAGCGAAAAAAATTTGACCTTTTTTTGTTATTGAATTACATAAAAACGTATTAAAGTAACACTCCTTAGGTGGACTAAAGATAAAACATGTTGGAAAACATAAATCCTGAAAATTCTCATATTCTCTCTTTCTTTCACCAATCATTACTTATTCGTTATAAAGGTATAGAGATCGAAGTTTCACTTCTTTCACGTGTACTCATTTGCACCTGTTTTTTTTTAACTAGTTTTTATTTTTAATAAATTTTCTTTTTATTAGCTTTTTTTAATTCTGCTGTAGCCAGTTTATGGTTTGTCCGCTCCTGACAGTAAGGCATCGTCTCCATTGTACCTAATACACTTAATTAAAATGATTTCACAAGATGAACAATTTTGGGAATTTACTAATTGGGCGTTGATATTGGCGAATCGCGAATGACGGCGAATATCGCGGGGGGCGGGGCTAGATAAGGGGTTGAAAAAAGTTGATCAGCAGAGGCAGACGAGAAAACACATAAGACGTGGCTCTAATATTAAGAGAAAAATAAAGACGTGTATTAACAAACGTATTTTTCCGACGTAGGAAATTAAAGACGTGTATTTCATCCTTCCTTAAAGAAGTGCCAAAAGACGGAAGACGACCCAGTTAAAGACGTACCACTTAAGATGGAATTAATTAAGTACATCTTGTCTATTAAAAGTATTCTTCAATAGTTGAGTGATGTTTATGTCTTAAAAAATAGTGCACAGTGGTAACTACAAACCTGGAAAATCACTAAAAACTACTCGTATAATCACAGAAAAACACGTTTTGACACAACTTTTTTTATGCAACTTATTTCTTAATTAAACACATTTTAAGTTACTTCGGATCTGGACTTTTTATTACAACCTTAGACAAACTAAATAAAAAAGCCCACAGTATTGCGTTTAAGTATTTTATCACAAGAAATACTTGTGTCTTCCTATTTTTAAACCCCAAGGAGAAAAATGTAGGTAAGAAGTTGAAAGATGTTTGAAAGATCTGCCCGTTTGTCTGTGTGTCTATGTATTTGTTTGGCCGACGACATAATCCTGAAAGAACAGACTTGTTTTGTTTGAAAGTGTGTGTTTACGAAGTAACTTTTCGAATGATTAAGTTAAGGAAGCTTAAAACTACATAAAACAAATGTCTTTGTTTATTCAACATATATAACTTTTTACTCTACATCTTTTTCTTAAAACACATTTTGACTTAAGCACCCCTGACCAATTGAGAACCGAGTGAAGCTAAATTTCAAATAAAAGCAATCCAAATATTTTAGAACAAGATTTGAGGTTTACAGTGGTAAAAATTGATTCAAAAATTAATTAAAATTCTTTTAAAATATATCATTCAGAGACCCGGGTTTGATTTCCGGCGAGAGCGTAAAATCAATTAATCCACATCAATTTGAGGTTATCTATAGTGGCAAAATTAATAAAAAAATGAATTCACTTTAATATATTGAAAGGTAGGTAACTCCATTGAACAAGTACATACCTTAGTAAGGGCGTTTACAGCAAATATCGTCGATATTATATAAATATTCTTATAAGAATCATCTTTTGTTTGGAAGGTAATTTATAGAGACTAACAATGGCGTGCTAATGGGATCAAATAAAGTCGAAATTGCGATTCGCGTCTAGTAGTTTCGATAAATTACTGATCAACATTCTGAACTATTCTCATAATTTACGTGTTAAACCAAAAGTAATTATTTCTGTTATACCTACATCTGCTCTAAATAAACAGTACATGATTTTACAATATAGGTACAAGTTTAAAATAATTTTAAAGGAAATCAGTTTGGCTTAGAAGTTTTCAAACATGCATTTAGTAATGAGCAGTTTTAACTTCATTTAATATATTTTATAAGCTCTTAATTTATTTGATGTTTACCAAACTAGGAGAATAGGGGTCTGAATCTTCTGGAATTCTGTCTTGGCTAGCACATGCATGACACCAAGTATAACAGGTTATTAGTTCATCCTGACATATATTATAACCATTTTACCCTTATGTAAGCAAAAATATTTTAATGCATCTATGTTAGCATATTTTAAAATTCACAAAGCTACATTAACTCGATGCAGCCTTAGCATATTTGAAGCTTTGTCAAGTTTACGAGGTTTGCGTAATAACAAAGAGTTTATTATATGGACTCATTCATTCATTCATTCATCAACATTATTCGAAACAAAGCATTGAAAAGTTTAAAGAGAGCTAACCGGAAAATTATTCAACCGAAGAAAATGATAGGGACTTGATGCTTATAACTCTCCTTGACGAAAAATTAAACATTAAAAGTAGACGAAGTTAATTATACCTACCTAACTTCAATAGAGCATTCGTGTCAAAGTTTCAATTCGAACGTTATCAAAATTACTCTTACACAAGAGTTAAATAATTAAATGAGGCATTCCCCTTTTGTGAAAACTGATAAACCAAGAAGCTTTGACTTTCAAACTCTACAATTGAATTGACGATCATTACACAACACACATCTCGAAAACTGTCGTCTAAATGGGGAAGTTAAATACTTCGTGGGAGTTTTGCCTGGTAAAGACAATTAATGTCGAAATTACGTAAGTATTTAATCTACTGAATTGAAGGAGCTGTACAATGGTACCTAACGTTAAATTTGGACTAAATTGTCATAATATAGAATGCAGCACTACAACTTAAGATTAAATAAATATGTGGCTATTTTTTGTAGTTTCCCATTTGTCTCTCAGATGCTTAACTTTGCCGCATACAAGAACAACCTAACCTAACCTAACATAAAAGTATCTACCATCACAAACAAATAGAGAAATAAATATTAAGAAACTAGCTAATGCCGTCCAAACTTGGACGAAGGGTACCGTTATCGTTATCTACATTTTAATTTCGGCGAAATTTTCAATAATTATGCTTTAAACGTTATCTAAGCATTAAAAATTTAATTGTTATTAGAATGTATGTATATGTAACCAACTGTACAGCCGAATAGAGACATTTAAACCCTCCCACATTTTTGCATTTGTTCTGTCGCGACGGTAATACGTCAAAATGGATGATTTTTAATCGAAAACATCCTGGATATCGAATGTAGGCCTAAGCAATCCTTCAGTCTTTTAGTTAAATGAATCTTCACTTTGTGTGGGTGGTGTATTTGAAATGGTAGATGGTGGGAGATTCGAAATACACATCTCTGTAAGTTAGTTTCCTTATTTGTTGTTTATTTGTTTTGTAACGGGTAACGATTGTGAATGATATAATTGAGTTAGTGTAAAGTTTGAAGGATAGTGAAATGACTGTACATGTACAGAAGGAAGGATAACAATTATGACATGCTTAGAAAATTTACAGTACAGTTTAAACTTAGATTAATTACTGTGAAAATTGAACAAAATAATTCGAAGTGGTCTGTATTCTGTCGAAACTACCAGACGACAATCGCGATTTCGATCTGTTTGGATCTCATCAGCGCATCGCAGGCAGCTCCGACAGAACACAGACCAACCTTTACCTGCTGTCTTAACAGCGCGTTTTAGAAAATACTACAAATGGCGTAGTGAACGCCACCTGTAGTACGATGCTACATTTTAGGATTACGTATGCTCCAACAAGGTCCATTTCAATATATGGATATCTACTTGCTGAAACGAATCCCGGCGTTGCTGATCTCAACGTGATAGGCACGTTACCATAATCGAATAAAATGATTCGAAGTGGTCTCTATTCTGTCGAAACTGCCAACGCGGATCTCATCAGCGCCTCGAAGGCAGCTCCCACAGAACACAGACCAACCTTTACCTGCTGTCTTAGGATATCCTAAAATGTAGCATCGTACTACAGATGGCGTTCACCACGCCATTTGTGGTATTTTCTAAAACGCGCTTTTAAGACAGCAGGTAAAGGTTGGTCTGTGTTCTGTCGAGCTGCCTGCGACGCGCTGATGAGATCCAAAAAGATGGAAATCGCGATCCGCTTCTGGCAGTTTCGACAGAATACAGACCACTTCGAATTATTTTATTCGATTATGGTAACGTGCCTATCACGTTGAGGTGAGCTACGGCGGGATTCGTTTCAGCAAGTAGATATCCATATTTTTAAATGGACCTTGTTGGCGAATACGTAATCCTAAAATGTAGCATCGTACTACAGATGGCGTTCACTACGCCATTTGTGGTAATTTCTACTGCAAAAATTATTTTGTTTTGTAATAAACATACATTTTTTTAAAAGGACGCAGCTAGATCCTTACGTAAAATGGCACTCTTTTTCAGATATGGTCTCTTAAAGTTTGATTCTTCCAAGGACTTTCAAGATACAATTTCACGTATCGAGGAAATAATCATATCAAAAATGCATCGGTGTATTAGAAAAATGTAGAAAACCGCATCTCAACCTGACTTTTCTGAAAATTCGAAGGTTTAGCGTTTTATTTCCTTGAAAGTTATAGACAGAGGTGTAATCAGACACCAATATAGAATATACAACTTGTATATGAACCTATTAACGTTTCGTTCCAACTACACT